TTCAGCAGCCTCGATAAATTAAATCTGGCCACCTAGCTCCCAGACTGGCAGGCTCCTACATCATTGACAGAGAAGACAGGGAAAAGCAGTTTTCCCAGCTGTTGCAGTAAATGATGTGCATTGTGCTCACAGCTATTAGCAGGTGGAAAATTTGAAGTGTGGGTACATTGCAGAGCTGCCTCTTTTAAAAATGCATAAGCACTTTGTGAGTTTGCTAAGTCATGTTTCACTCAGCTCAGTTTGAATTTTTCATAGAGGAGAAATATTCTGTAGTCTTTCCTCTTTAAGTTCTTCTTTATCAGTAAGAACTGACACAGTGAGGTCTATAGTGGAAGGGGGCCAAGTCTAATCATACCATTTGCTTGATTAGTCCTCAGTTTTTCTAAGTTGTAAAATGCTTAAAGATTTAGGGCTTTAAGGACTTAATATAACTGAGTTTCCTGCCTCTCCCTGTTTAATCCAAAATGCAAATTCTTTCCCATTCTGGATTTGAGTTTATTTGATGTGTTTTCAAGTAAATTTTTATCCTGAAGAGCTCATCCATTTGTGAAATTTTAAGCATTGCACTGTAAAGACTCCTTTTTCTCCAAAAACATCCCCTGTTCACACACCATGTGCCACACACAGTATGTGCTTGTGGTCACTCATTGGTCACACCATTCCTATGCTGAGGCAGACATTACTAAGTACTGAATACAGATTTTCCTGATGCATCCAGCTGTAACATCAGTGTCATTACTAATGTGATATTCCAGCTAGACCTAAGAATTAGTTGTGTGGTGTACTGATGGAAGCATTATAATTATACAGCAAGCCCTTGATTTGTTTCCTTCATATGGAATAGTGTCAGGATTGTAGTAGAACAAAGATGTATAACTGAATGGAATACTTAGTGTGCCCCAAATTATGAAACATCTTTTACATTAGCTACCTCATTTAATTTTCTTCAAAGCCCTGTGAAGAGAATACTATTAACAGCCTTATTCTTCAGATGAGTAAACTGAGGCTCAGAGAGTTGAACTAATTTATGTAAGGTCTCATAGGTGACAAATTGTGAAGCCTGACTCTGGCGCCTGAGACCTGCACTGCCATGTTATCAACTTGATACAATTCAACATATGTGTTCAGCTCATTCATTGATTATTCATCAAACATTTATCAAGCCACTCTTATGCAGCAGGCACCAAAAATCATATTCAACAAATTCAGCAATGACTTATTAAAAAACAAGGTAGAGCTATTAGGTTCTCTGACCAGCAACTAGATAATAACTCCCCAAACAGGCAATAGATTTCCTGCTTTTTTAATATCAATAAATCAGACTTTTCTTGGAATGAAATGGTTTTCTTCCCACATCTGGCTAATCAATTGTAACCTATTTTCTCCCCAAATGGAGAGAATTATTCCAGCCAGTATTGAAACCTCAGCAAATTGGAAGCAAAATACGTTGCAATTTGAAGTACCAAGGTATTTATGAGATCGTTATTTGCTATAATTGGGGGGATTCTAGAATACTTTGTGTTACAGAACTGACCTTTCATAGATCTTTCCATACTTTCCAAGACTTGTAAGCACATCACAGTGGTTCTGCAAGGTCAAAGGGTCTGGAGCTTACATGTGTCATTTCTGTGTTCTGATTTAAAACCTCTTTGCTTGTAATTAGGTTCTTGGGAAGAGGGTAGTCAGGCAGACAGTGCTCCTAGAAAAGATATGGGGTGGTCATCTTCTCACGTTTGATTATTTTTCAAACTTCACAACGACTCTTCATGTAGGACTACCTTTGGGCTGTAGTACTATTAATCCTATAATATTGGATGAGCTGGATGGGGCCCTTCTGATCCTATCTTTCTTTTTTGGTTTAATATAATATATAGACTTCAGAAGCCATCTCATAAATTATCTTGCCAAAATAAATGGCAAGTAAAACAGTCAAATGTTCTCATAAAATCTTGAAACACGGCAGCATGACAACCTCCACGAGAATTAAGTTGCTCAATTTCCCTTTGATAGTGATAGTGCCCAGAGTAAGTGGAAAGCAATACTTCTTTTTGGTAGCTGGAGGATCCCACATGACATTTAAATACATGATCATCCCAGCAGTTCAGGGAGGAAATAACTGCACCATTGCCAGGTTCCTGGCTTGGCACATAGTGAGGGCTTCATGCAATTTTCCACATGAATATACAGAAATCCTTCACATGATGGTGTTTGTGTTGTTAAAATAACTTTGGGAAGACTGGGTGCGGTGGCTCACACCTATAATTCTAGCACTTTGGTAGGCCGAGGCAGGCAGATCACTTGAGGTCAGGAGTTCAAGACACACCTGGCCATGGTGAAACCCCCTCTCTACTGAACATACCAAAAAATTAGCTGGGCGTGGTGGCAGTTGCCTGTAGTCCCTGCTACTCAAGAGGCTGAGGTGGGAGAATTGCTTGAACCTAGGAGGTGGAGGTTGCAGTGAACTGAGATCGTAGCAGCACTGCACTCCAACCTGGGCGATAGAGCAAGACTCTGTCTCAAAACAACAACAACAACAACAACAAAACCCAAACAAAAACTTTTGTAGAAGTCTCAAGTTTTCTTCTGGGTCCATTGAATGAAATGACTTAACCATGGGGAAGGTGATTGACTCTTGGACAAAAAGGCACAGCAATTGCTTCTCTACTGGTTCAGCAGGGTTTATGGCCAAAATATTTTGTAATCTTGCTTTAAGGTAATAGGTGTTTCCCAGCATATATTTCTTCTCTTCTTCCTTTCTGTATTTCCCCTCTCCCTCTTCTTTCTTTTTGTAAAAGCTAAATTCAATTTCTGCACTTTTTCAAAAAGGTTTAAAACCAGATTGTCTCTGGTTTGATGTGATTACTTTTCTTCAGTGCAATTCATTGGAACCATTTCTCAGTTAAGTCATTTTGGCATAGGGGTTGCCGAGTTTGGGGAAGCAGAAGCAGATTCTGCCTAGTGAAGGTAAAAAATGATGCCCTCAAAATGTATGCTGGCAGACAGAAATCATTTTCTATTACTGATATTTTCAGTCACCAGCTGGTATATGTTGAACAGTTTCTGTATTGCATGGAAAATGTATAATAGCATGAGATAACTAGAACAATACTGCTATTGTGATTCCTTTTGGCTAATTGGATTGTTGCATTTAGTTTAACAGCTTTAAAAACACAATGATTACTCAGTCACATTTTAGAAAGTGACTTGAAAGAGTGGGTATAATTTAGGAATACTTCTGGAGTTGTGATTTATAGAAACTTTTGTTTTACTTTCTCTTTAAAAATTGTATGGAGATAAGTAGGTATATGTTTAAATCATTTAGTGTGTAAAGAACAGGCATTATCCAAGAAGATAGGACATAACTTTCCTAATACTTTTCATTCTAAGTTTTCTCTACCTTGACTATGTTAGAAATGGCAATAAAGTAAGATCCTACATAATGTGACCTATGATGCATGAGAATAAGATATGGTGTAAACCAAAATGGGGTCTCCTTTAAAACTATATAAAGGTACTACATTATCCTTGTCCTCAACATCATAAAGGAATTTGTTCTCTTTATTTTTATGGATTAAGTACAAAGAATTGTAGAAGTGCCCATCATGTAATACATGATCAGTAAATAGTATTAAGTTTATGACTCCAGGAAGACTGTGGCTGTTCAGAGGGTGGAAGTGGGGGGCAGTGACTTATTTTTAGGAAGTTGCTTTGTGCCATGATTGTGGACTTTTTTTTTTTTTTTCTGGTTCATGGAGCCACTGTGCATCTGCAACATTGCTCTGCCTTCAAATTGCTAAATGCAGTATTATGAGTCAAGACTCAGAGGAATGGGAGAAGAGGGACTCACATTGGCTGAAAAAATGACACAGAATATAGTTTATCATATAAATGAAAAGCTCACTGGCAAGACTAGCTTCAGGTGTGGCTAGATCCAGATACTTAAAAGTTATAATATGGCCTTTTATTGAATTTCTACATTGTTCCTTGGCGTATTTGCTCTATTACAACAATGGATACTTCACTATGCTCATATTAAGGAGCTCATGGCCTAGTAGCTAATATGATATATAACAAAATGTAATATGTGCTATAATAGAGGAACTTACAAAGTAGAACTATAATTCAGAGAGGAGAAAAAAGCAAATACGTCTGAGGAGAGGTTAACAAGAAATTCAGAGAAGTTATAACCTGCAAATTGTTTTGAAGTAGAAGCAAAGATTTTACTAACAAGGATACTGAATAAAATGGTTAATTGGTATGGTTATGGCCCTTGGAAGGTCTGTATTCAAATCTCAGCTCTGCCACTTTCAAATTGTACAAACTCTGGCAAGTTTCTTAAACTCTTGGGGTCTTAGTTTCCTTGTATGGAGACTGAAATTGAAACTACTGAGTTAACAGAGTTTTCGTTAAGGACCAAGGACCTGAGGGATACCCAGATAGGGACAGGCACAGAGTCAGTCCCCCTTCTCTGGTTACTGTCATTCTGTTTTGATAGCGTCCTCCTGTTGTACCTGACTGCTGTCACTTGGAGCTTTTCATCAGCTATGGAAATCGGCTAGCTTTTATTGAGAGTTTACTGTGAGAGAGATACTGCATTAAGAATTTTGACTTATCTAACTCCTTCCTGTAACTCCAGATAGTAGGAAAATTATTACCCTTAAACCACAGATGAGGAAAGTGACTCTGAAAATCTAAGGAATGTGCCGAGGTGACAAGCTTAATAAATGATGTTAGCTGGGTATTTCTGACTCCCGTGCTCATGGGCTCAAGCATTATACTATATTTCCTCTTACATAGCATGCCATCATTAATTTCCTCCCCTCATGGACTTGGCTTTTGGCTCCTGTTGCAGCCCACCCTGGGTACCACCCCACTTTTTCTAAAATCATGGTTCCATGGTGCTTCTCTTATGTGTGTTTGTGTGTATGTCCAAGTGCTATACTGCTACTCCAACTGACCTGGCTGGCAATAATCCTTTGGGTCCTGTGCTTTCTTTTCAGGTGAGCCTTCCAGATGGTCACCCTCACACTGCGATTGCTGCTGCAAGAATGGCAAAGGTGACAAAGAAGGGGAGAGTGGCACGTCTTGCAATGACCTCTCCACATCCAGCTGCGACAGCCAGTCTGAGGCCAGCTCTCCCCAGGAGACGGTCATCTGTGGTCCCGTGACACGCCAGACCAATATCCAGACTCTGGACCGTCCCATCAAGAAGGGCCCTGTCCAGCTGATCCAACAGTCAGAGATGCGGCGGAAAAGCGACTTACTCCGGACTCTGACTTCAGGCTCCAGGGAATCGAACATGAGCAGCAAAAAAAAAGCTGTTAAAGAAAAGCTGTCAATTGAGGAGGAGCTGGAGAAATGTATCCAGGATTTCCTAAAAATCAAAATTCCAGATCGGTTTCCCGAGAGAAAACATCCTTGGCAATCTGAACTTTTACGGAAGTATCATCTATAAGGGAGGGCTGGGGGTGGGAAGATAAAAAAAAAAAAAAAAAAAAAAAAAGTCTTCATTTTGAAATTAACCTCCTAAAAGGAATTCATATTTTAAAGGAAAAAATACAACTAATGATGCACATTTCTTAGAACACAATAGTCCATTGATATACTACTGCCTACTTTACCTAGTTCACCTTAACATGTAAATCCACAGGGTAGATTTCTTTCTAGATGTGGAAGTACAAGAAAATCTTTTTTAGTTATTTGTTTGTTTACTTGGTCCCATGTGCTAAGTATCTTATATATAATGAGAGTCAGCTATATAAAAGTAGCTGAGAGGCCTTGGGAATCGTTTATCCCAAACCGGGTTTTTTTCTCTCATCTTGTACCTCCCTCCTTTGAATGAGGGTATGGTAAAAAAAAAGATCTGGCCCAATGGCATAAGTTTGGAATTTTAAATTTTGCTTTTTCCTTTTGTTTATGGGGTAGGGGGGGAATGGCAGATTTATATGACTTTTCACTCAAATCTATATGTGCCAGTTTATATTGACTCTGTATGCATGAGTATTTGTGCAACATAAGCACAACTAAGTATGTATATACACACTACGCACACGATGCCAGGGCCTAGACATCCCAAGGGCTGTACTCCTGCTCCCAGCAGCCCTCTCTTAGAACATTTCAGATGGATGAGCTTCTGACTCTTTCTTAAAATTCTTTTGGGAAGATTTCCCAACCTTTCTTCACAACGCTTTCTAACATCAAATGACCCTCATCATCAACAAATTGTATTCCTTATTTTGAAATTAATACCCTCAGGCTCCATTTTACTGCTTTGCTCTTTGTCTGCATTAAGAGAGGATGAGGAGAGCTGGTCAAACATTCTTTGTGTTAAAAAATCAAACATTCGTATTCGCAAAATTTTCTGCTAAATGACCCCACACTCAGCCTTCTCTACCCTGAACTAAATTATCACCTTTCTCTCCATGTTTTCAGAGTTCTTACTGCCCACAGTTTAATGGTGTGGCCTTTCCACGTAATCCACATTAAGTTCTGTGTTCCTGTGTTGTGGAACTAAGGACAACACACAGTACTCAAATAAGGGTCCGGCCTTTTGTTTGTTTTAGAGAAAGTTGTATTCCACATACAATCTAATAATTTCTTATAAAAATTTTAAGCTACGAAGCTACATTTTTACTTGCCGGTAGCCTTTTTTGTTTGCCTTTGGGATTCGGGGTTTGGCTGTGCCCATGCTAGGGTTTAGCTGTGTCATTTTTATGATGTTTGTAACAACCCAGCAAGGTAACTGAAGCTCCAAAGTTAAGGTTTCAGATTTCTAAATGAAACAATCTTTTTCAATTACATCCTATCCAGTATAGACACAGCCAAAAAGAAACCGCTAATAGCTATCCATCCATGTAACTCTGTATTTTACTAAGGTACCAATAGCTCTTTCATAGACTTGTGCTACATGAAGGTTGAAAGACCAGTTTTTATTTTCAGCATTCCTCATGCATTTCAGTAGTAACCAAAAATTGATTTGTCAATTATTAATTGTGTGCCAAGCACTCCTAATTTGTTTCATTGCGTGTGTGTGCATGTGTGTATGTGTACCACAGGTAATAAAGGCAATTGGATGATATCTGTAGGAGGAAAACAATGACTAATTTCTTCCTTTTAAAATCTTTCATTGATGCACATTTATTATGTAAGAGGTTCTGTCTTGATTTCTGTTCTTAGTGATGATTAGTATATGAATATTTTTCTGAATTTTTGTAATTCTCGCCTTCACACTTGGATGACAGGCTCAGCTAAGTTTTCCTTGTCCTGAAGGTTTGAATGGAGTTTAAAGTTTTTACATAAGTGAAAAAGAAAGTATATCTTGGGAGTTGAGTTGTCAAGAGAATTATAATTTATGAATTTAAGTGATGTTCTTTTCTGTATTAATATATTAGCAGATATTTGATCTTAACTACAACATAGCTTTGTTTGTAAAGCCTACCAGTATGTCTTCATTATTTTCAATGTTTCTTGATAGCACATGAAAATACCATCATCCTAATAACAGAAGATCTTGCAAAGAATCACAGAGCTTAATGGGTCAAGAAGTTGAATTTGGGGAAAATATCCTGAAACTCACTTTGGTCATATGATAATTGTGTTATCACTGGAAGTGCTGTCAAAGACTTTGGTGTCTAACTAAAATGGCCAAACTTCCAACTTCCTTAAATTTCAGACCTGACTGTAATGGCCTCAAGATAGAGAGATACCCTCATAAGAATTAAAGAATTAAGATGATAGTCAACCCAATATTTCTACTACATTCTTTAAACAGGAAATTAAACACTGCAAAAGGAGTGTTAATGGCAGTGTTCTTCTGACCCCTGACCTGTCATCAGTTTTCTCTGCTCTGACATTCCTTATATACCCAGTGAACAAAGCTAGAATAGAAAACCTGTTTAAAACAATCACAACAGCAGTATTTTTATTTTGGGCCACCTCTCGGCTGGCACCCATCCCATAGTAAAATATTCAAGTAACTAAGACAATAGCATGGCGTTTATTTGTGTGAGTGTTGGTATAGAGATGAACATAGACCTGGCCAGTAAAAGGCTCTGAGGAGGCTTAAAGTACCTAGTTTGAGTGGAGTTATCAAGTGAGGTTCAGGTAGCCTGCAACATTGGAAATGAGTTCTGGGTAAGTGAGTTATAAGAGTACATGCTCTAGTAACTCTGGTAGTCACTGTGACTCGGGCATGTTTCCCTGAAGTTAAAATAATTTTTAGAACTTTTTGTTTAATTCTGAACAAAAAATGTATGTGGTTTGCTTCTAGAACATTGGTTATGACAAGGGCCATAAATTGCTAATATAAAGAAAGTAGTAATATCAAATGGATACAATGAATGGGGAATCACATGTATGGAGCCCCAACTTAGATTGCCTTCTGGGAAATCCCACTAAAATCCAGTGAGCTTGGGGAGATCATTCTCTAAAGGTATGTGAGTCGTCTAAAGTCAGAAACGTATTTACAAAGTCCTTCTACCCACTATCAAAAATGAACTGATCCACATTCAGCAGGAAAAGGGGAAGACAGGAATATAAAACTACTAGATCATATGGTAGTGTGATTTTCTTTCCCCCGCTAGGAAAAATTGCACTGAAATGCTGTCAAAAAATAATGAAGTGAAGTGGCTTCCAATATATGCACTGATGTTATCCTTTGTATTTATAGGCACAGTTATCTTACTGAAAATGCATGCACGGTGAATTAAAATAAAAGGGGGAACAATGCACAAATAATAAGTTTTCCCTTTGCTCTTTATTCCTTCATAGTTGTATCTATTCCAACCAATTCATTTTGGGGGAACACATTTATTAAAGGGTGCTGACATGGAACTTTTCTCTTTTCAGTTAGCCTTGTTCGATTCAGAGGAACCTTTATCCATAGGCACAGATGTGTTGCTTGTTCTGGGCCCCATTACTTCCTGTGCTTCTGGATTACTTTTGCTTTCCTGGGCTTTAGATTCTTCTCTGAGTATCCTTTGTTGGTGTCAGACAAAACATGCTCCAATGAGACAAAAGGAAGGCATGTATGGTGTTTTGCAAAATTACTTGACACCAGCTCCCACAATGGGAACCAAATTTTGATTCTTATACATTTTCCTTTGTTGCAATTCCAGCCTTCCAACTTTGTATCTACTATAGAGTGGATCTGTGAATTTGAGTGCTGGTATTTTCTGCCACTATATACTATGCCATGGAATTTGACTAGCCTTAGTCTTCTAGATGATCTTTACTAGAATTAATAAGATTCTTTCTGTGAATTTTTAGGAAGAATTCTTTGTCACCTCCACCTGACACACCAATTTTCAAAAGAAAAACGAAGGGAATTCATTGTTCCTTATGGTGACTCTTTGGCAGATAAACATTTTTGCCAATTTGCATGCTGGTTTACGGGTTTAGCATGGGCCATTTCTCTCTTTAATGTCTTGGTATTATTGGCGTCTTGCAATCTTGATGCCCCACATTTTTAATTTATTTATTTTCTTTTATATTGTCAAAATAGCACACTAGAGAAAGAACCAGAGTGAACATTCGGTATCCTGAGTTACAATGGAGTTACATGTCATTTGTATAGAACTGTATAATGATTAATATCTGCAGAGAAATTAGACCAAATGAAACCTGCTGGCATAGGTTTGATTTATATTGCCTTCATCATTCTGGTTTCAGACGAAATGGTTATTGCTCTCTACCACTGCTGAAAGAATAGAGTCTTAAACTTTAATAATCACAGCCTTGTGATGCAAGCACAGAGCTTATTTGTTTGAAATGCCTATTATTCTCATCTTGCTGTATATGTTGGAATGGAGATTCTTTTTCCAGTTATCTCCATTGCAAGCTTTTTAACAGTGTTTTTTAATACTCAGTATGCATAAAATTCATGTGTAGCACTTGTAAAAATGCAGATTCCTTCAACCTATCTTCAAAGAGTCTGATTCGGAAACTTGAAGCAGGGCCAAGAAATTTGTATTTTGAGCTAGTCTCCTTAATAATTTTGATGAAGATTGTCTATAGACCTTATTTTGAAAAATTCTGCTATTTAGGGAATATGCAGAGACCAACAGTTCCTTTACTTCTTAGAAGCATTTCCTCATTTTCTCTTACTTCCTTCCCACTACAAATAAGTCAAAGCACGCATTATTCATTATCTTAAGAGAAAAAACCCAAAGAAAAACATCCTAAGACTAGGGCAGAATAGATTTTCATGAATTCTTTGCCATTTCATCTGCTGTATGTCAACCATAACCCTTTCTCCATATTGTGTGTGTATGTGTATGGGTTTTTTCCCAAAATAAAAGCCTACATTATTATAGTCTTAGCTCTGGGTAGATGGGAGCACATCTCTGAGTGAGATGTATTCTAATGATACACAACAAGAAATAAAAATAATGATCTTTCCCAAGGAGAGTTGTTTATTTCTAGGCCCTTACTTAGTATGAGTAGGAGGAAATTGAAAGTGACCCATAATTTAATGATGTATATGGCCCCAAAGGTGATTCCATTAACTGCACATAAAATATAACCAAAATGAATATGGAATGATTAGTGAATTCAGCTACATTTTACCAAACAAATCCTGTGCCATTGAACTGCTAAATTTGTCCAATTTGACTCAATCAGGACTATGAAGCTCTCAGATAATTGAAGATCATGAACCCTGACATTAACTAAAACCTTGAAGCCAAACTCATGTTTGAGAATAAATGCCAAAAAAGAAAAAAAAAAAGAAAAGAAAAGAAAAAGAAAGCAAGAAAGAGTGAATTCAAACGGGTTTCAATGATCCAATTGACTCTATTCATTTAACAGAATAACTGGATACATACCAAATTCCCACATTATAAGAAACATAAAAATAGAGATCACGCTTGTCATGATCATGAGTGAATATGTGAGTAAATATTATTGCCAAAGGAAAGTGAAGTACGCTTAATGAAACTGTTGAACATGAGCAACTAATTATGTTAAACTGGCCAAGATTAAAACAAAAATGGTTAAATTTGATTCAGTTTGTTGCCCTCTCTCCTCTGCTTCCTAAGTGGGATTCCTTTTCTGTCCCAGCTTCCTAAGGTTCAAAAATGTTTCTCTTGTTTGTGAACAAATTTTGTTGCCAATTAGGTAAAAAATGTTAAGTTCCCAGACTGTCATCCTTGCATTATTTAGGAAATTTACTTTTAAAAGGATAAAGAAAAATGTGCCTGGCCTAGCAACTATCAAGGGCTTGTCCTGGAGGAGGGCGGGGGTAATCTTCCTGTTAATCAGCTTTGTAAAAGCACTTATATGCCAACCAGAGGGTTTATTAAGTCTCTTGTCTCCAGCAACCTCCTCCATCTTATCAGTTTATTTTTAGAATTGACCTTTAGATAATTTACCTGCATTTGCACAGTGAAAAATCAACATAACTTTATATTCTCTTCCTGCTGATGTGGTCTCCATCCATCACAAATGGAAGCAGAACTGATGTTTAATAAAGTAATGAGAGTTGCTTTCAAATTATATCAGTGTGCATGTGTGAGTGTGCACATAACCATGTGCAATTTTTAGGTTTATGTCAGTTCAGTGGATAATGTGTGTGGGAGTGCTATCTGAGTGTGTGGAAAAAGCCTTTGGTTGCATAGTTTAACAGCTTTTTATTTCAGCACAATAGTTTGTCTTTACTGTGGATGTCAGTCCTTGAGAATGTTAAGTAAAGCTGGTCTCCTCATGTGGAATTCAAACAATAGTATTTTCTGGGGAAAATTCAAACTCATATCCACGTATATAGTGAAGAGTGGCATCTTATTCAAAAAAACAATGCATTTTTCAAAGCTAAAATAGACATAGAATACACATTAATCATCAGTAGTCTTTTTTAATTGCAGCCAGTGGTCAGTGGTATATCTACACCTTTAGGTGAGAGACAGAAAAATTTCAGGAAACTCTCCTTGATTCATGTGGGTTATGTGCATTTAAGGCCATGGTTTTCAACCAGGGGTGGTTTTGCATCCCAGAGGTCTTTTGGCAATGCCTGGAGATATTTTTTGTTTCATGATTTGAGGGGTGCTACTGACACTTGATGGGTATAGGCCAGAGTTGCTGCTAAATATCCTACAGTGCACTGGAAAGCCCTCCATATCAAAAAGTTATCCAGCCCACAATGTCAATAGTGCTTAGCTTGAGAAACTCTAAATTAAGCATGGGTTTAAATTTGTCAAGGCATTTTTTTTTTTTCTGTACCATATACGGAAGTCTTCCAGGTCAAGAAATAGGATAAAATAGAAAAATAAAAATCAGAACCAGTTTAAATGTGTAAAGGAATTGTATGTATGGAAATTATTTGAAGTTACATGTAATTATCTCTTTATACACATGTGAAAGCTGAGATTTAGAGAAACAGGAAACTTTTTCCAGGGATCTGGTAGTGATGAGGAAGGCCTGTAGTTTATGTGTCTTATCTTCTTCTACTTCAGTCTTTCTGCTTCAGAAAAATTATACTTCAGGGATGTTGTCAATCTTTTAACAGCTAAATGCGCTTGTTGTGAAGCACTCTGGGATCCCTTTCAGTTTGCATGATCCTGTTAAAGATGTTTCCCAAGCTGATCAACAGTAGACCACAAGGTGCTCTCAGAAATGAAACCAGTAAGGGGGACAAAGTGTTTAGAGCAGGCCAACGATTTCATTGTCTGTAACTGCTTATCATACACTTTGTTACTTTGAGTTGAATATTCCCTCACTGAGGATGGTAAAATCTTATTGGAAAATATGTTTCGTAGACTTACACAGCAGGGGCTCCCATGTTCTTGTTTCCAAACGTGACAAAGTCTAAGCACAAGTCCTGGCTACTGAGCCTTATTGTTTAGTTTACATGTACTGACTTTATTAGAACACAAAGCACATTTGTGTCTGATATGATTTGACATTTTTCTTTTAATTTATCATACCAACATCCCAGGGATGGAGTAATGATAGGGTCGTTCTAATTCCATTTTTTACACAGGAAACTAAGGACCCAGAAAGTTTAAATCAGTCATTTATTTGTTTGTTTATGCATATATCCAGCAAATATTTGTTGGGTACATACCATATATAGGTCACTGTCATGAGCATTATAATGTCTAAGCAATCAAATTTGGAATAAAGAACTTGAATTAAGTTCATTCAGATCCTAGACTGACATTATTTCTGTATGTAGTTCTGATCAATATTCTAGAATTATGGTTTAAATATCAAGTTATAGATAATATATATTACAGATTTATTATTATGTACCAAAAACTCTACTAAGTACTTTTCATGCCTTATCTCATTTAATCCTATCATAATCCAATGAAGTAAGCCCTGCCACTATCCTCTCTTTACAGATGAGGTCAGTGAGGCTCAGAAAGATAAAGTAGCACATAAAGGCTCATAGCTAAAAAGTGGCAGAGCCAGATTTTCCTCTGAGATTTTTAAACTCTAAAGGCTGCTGGCTCAACCATCTCATTGTACAACCTACTCTCTCTATTCTCTGAACTTTGCCTGTTTCTACTCTCTCCTATTCTAAACAAGGTGGGATCTCAGTCTGACATCCTTCCTAAAAGTCATCAGTTTTATTTTTTTTAATTGCAAATGCCATTAGACTTGCATCTGCCTAGGAGGTAAAGGAAGGGCAGATTTGCTACAGGTTGTACTTTATGCCACAAAAATTTTCAAGGGGGCAATAATGTTGTAGAACAAGTATCTGGTGAGCACTGACATCCTAAGAAACTCACCATGATAAG